CCAAATACTGACATTGTTCGTTAGGTATGGCAACCAAAACTCAACATCTAATAGACGTCATAGTAGTAACGTCCACACAACGTCAAGCTGTAACATTATTAGACGTTGATATTTGGTTGATTTTAGGTTGTGTTAGAAAGTCTTGAATCAATATCATATTGACGCCAAATACTGACATTTATACGTCAGGTATGGCAACCAAAATTCAACATCTGATAGACGTCATAGTGGTAACGTCCACACACCGTCAAGCTGTAACATCATTAGACGTTGATATTTAGTTGATTTTAGGTTATGCTAGAAAGTCTTGAACCAATATCATATTGACGTCAAATACTGACATTTATTCATCAGGTATGGCAACCAAAATTCAACATCTGATAGACGTCATAGTAGTAACGTCCACACAACGTCAAGCTGTAACATTATTAGACGTTGATATTTAGTTGATTTTAGGTTGTGCTAAAAAGTCTTGAATCAACATCATATTGACGTCAAATACTGACATTTATTCATCAGTTATGGCAACCAAAACTCAACATCTGATAGATGTCATAGTAGTAACGTCCACAAAATGTCAAGCTGTAATATTATTAGACGTTGATATTTAGTTGATTTTATGTTGTGCTAGGAAGTCTTGAACCAATATCATATTGACGCAAAATACTGACATTTGTTCTTTAGGTATGGCAACCAAAACTCAACATCTGATAGACGTCATAGTGGTAACGTCCACACAACATCAAGCTGTAACATCATTAGACGTTGATATTTGGTTGATTTTAGGTTGTGTTAGAAAGTCTTGAACCAATATCATATTTACGCCAAATACTGACATTTATACGTCAGGTATGGCAACCAAAATTCAACATCTGATAGACGTCATAGTGGTAACATCCACACAACGTCAAGCTATAACATTATTAGACGTTGATATTTAGTTGATTTTAGGTTGTGCTAAAAAGTCTTGAATCAATATCCTATTGACGTCAAATACTGACATTTATTCATCAGGTATGGCAACCAAAACTCAAAATCTGATAGATGTCATAGTAGTAACGTCCACAAAATGTCAAGCTGTAATATTATTAGACGTTGATATTTAGTTGATTTTAGGTTGTGCTAGGAAGTCTTGAATCAATATCCTATTGACGTCAAATACTGACATTTATTCATCAGGTATGGCAACCAAAACTCAACATCTGATAGACGTCATAGTGGTAACGTCCACACAACATCAAGCTGTAACATCATTAGACGTTGATATTTGGTTGATTTTAGGTTGTGTTAGAAAGTCTTGAACCAATATCATATTGACGCCAAATACTGACATTGTTCGTTAGGTATGGCAACCAAAACTCAACATCTGATAGACGTCACAGTGGTAACGTCCACACAACATCAAGCTATAACATCATTAGACGTTGATATTTGGTTGATTTTAGGTTGGATGTTTTATAATAGACAAGAAAAAATAAAGTAGTGACTGCAGGTTAAAGGAAAGTAGTAGAGTAAACGTACAAATTACTGCACTAGAATGTACTCAAGGTGAGTACCTGGAGTATAGGCTTCTAGTTATTTTGGGATTTTGTTTTCCAATATCAAGTAAATTAAAGGGTTTTTGTTATGAGTCCCCTTCAAAATCCCCAATAATATCTGGATGCATATATGCAAGCTGAGACATGCAGTCTCAGATAACGTCACTGTGAGGGGTCTGTCTGTCTGTCTAATCTATCTATCTATCTATCTATCTATCTATCTATCTATCTATCTATCTATCTATCTATCTATCTATCTATCTATCTATCTATCTATCTATCTATCTATCTATCTATCTATCTATCTATCTATCTATCTATCTATCTATCTATCTATCTATCTATTTATCTATCTATCTAATCCTTATATTGTAATCTTATTAGGATTGTGTGATGTCAAACTGAACAATAAATGATATAGATATGATATAGATGCCATTTAAATTTAAGAATGGAATCCATCACATGAAAATCATGAAAATGATTATACTTCAGGATCCATGTTATCAATAGGTCTAAAACAATACCTGCTCTAATGGGAAAAAAAATTAATGTTCGCTGGAAGCTGCAAATATTATTTAATTGGCAGTCTCTAAAATGTAATTAAGCATTGACTTTATCTTTTATGTTACATTTGTTTTGATATTCATTTACATATCTGTAAGAGCCATTTCTAAAATCACACACGAGTTCTAAAGCAGCGATACAGATGAAGCAGAAAACGTGTCATGTCACAAGTTTGCCACGAGAGGTCACTCATTAGCCTTCGTGTTTATGAATCAGTCACTTAAAGGGTTAGTTCACCCAAAACACATTTGCTAATTCTAAAATTGTTCCAAACCTGTTTATGTTTCTTTCTTCTTCTGAACACAAATGAAGATATTTTGAAGAATGTTTGTCTCCAAACCGTTTTCATTTACCTTCATAGCACTTTTGTTCCAGTATAAAGGGAACAAAAGAAAAAAATTTCAGTAAACCTGACTGCCGTCCCATTGCTTCTCAGTGCTATAAAGAAATGCGTTACTGAAGTGGTTGGAAGACAAAGTTTAATTCTTTTGGTTCTTTGATAAAGAAAAAATTTAAATTTAAAAATTGAACTTTTTTTATTCAGGTAAACTTTATTTAACTGTTATTATTGTATGTTGCATCATATTTGTGGCAGATATTTTCTTAATTTGTTAAACTGTATCACAAAAAAAGTAAAAAATAAATAAATCAAATAAACTGTTTTATCTTAACTGTTTTATGTGTTTGTTTTTGTCAACAGTCAATTATACCTTTCATGGCTATAATGATTTTTTTTTTCTTTTATGCAAAAATCATTTGAATATTAAGTAGAAGTGATGTTCCATAAAGATTCTTTTATAAATTCCCTACTGTAAATATATCAAAACTCAATGTTTTAGCACTATTAACAGCATATTTAGTAAAATAGGAACATTTCTATTATTTAGTTTAAATTCTTTGTTCACTTATCAAAGTTAGTGCAAATACATTTGGTGGTAAATAACGACTTACTATTCACATTCTCCAGAATTCTGTATTATAGTTAGTTAAACAGTATTGATATAGTCAGAATGCACTGTAGACATTTCAGAACGTGACTAAACTGTCTGTTTCATTTAAAACTGATGAAAAAATGTTTGACTAAATTTACTCAAATGAGTAAACTGCACTCTAAAAATATCCGTAAATGAGTATTTTTTTTTTCTTTATTTGTATTTTGTGATTCATTTAATTATAATTTTTTCCCCATTTATTTATACTTTTGAATTGCATTATGGGACCTTAATCTTTCTTTCAACAGCTTTTAACCTTGAAAAGAACGATAAAGTTACTTTTATTAACATTTAAAGTAATTTATACAACAGTTCTGTCTGGTCCTCAAATCTGATTAGCTGATAGCCGTGATATATTTAAGTAATATCAGCACCCAACCTCTTACCCTTTGTGTATTACTACGCCCACATACAGCCAGCAAAAACAAAGAGCTTAGAATGACCAAGAGGCGACACTCTAGTGTAATTTGGGAAACAGCCACTAGAGGGCGCGGCGGCCATTTTGGAATGAACACTCCAATAGAACAACAGCATATTATAAGTCTGTAAAATAAACTATTAAAAGTGCTGAGGATTGTGATAATAAGTGTTGTATTGTCGTCTTTCAGGTTGTATCTAAGCTTTAATGCGCTTTTCAAATAAATAAATAAAAAACAAAGCAGCTGCTTGCCATCGCGACAGTAATGAGATCCAATGGACGACCGACCACTTTCACTTCAAAATGGCGGAATGCAGGGCTGTTGCCGCTGTTGCAATGGAACGTTCTATTGAGTGTCGCCTCTTGGTCATTCTAATCTCTTTGGCAAAAAGCAGACACTACAGATCTAAAGTTTAAAAGATGCTTGCTCAGCTGTTTAGTTGTCGGCTTATGATTTGAATCCAACGCAGAAGAAAGAAGTTCCTCATACAAAAGGGTTTTTGAGACTCTCCATGTTTGATTTTGATTTTATATACACTATTATGCCGTCAAACTGTTGTATAAACGCAATATCACACGAGTAGCAGTGCGATATAGCTGTATATCAGCACTGGTGGGGGCACTAAGGCAAATAAATAAATCAAGTTTGCTGAAGATAGTTTGCAGTTTCATCAGCAGAAGCCAGCTTCGACACTCGCAATGAGGTCCTTGGCCGCTCTGCTTACAATCACCAATCAATAACAATTACGGTCTCACATAACGTCATACATATAGGTGTTCTAACCTGATTGGTTAAAACACAGATAGACTAGGAAAATATCCACGTGGGGTTTGTGTGTATATTCTGAACAATATCTTAAGCATGGACGTCAGACATCCACTAGACTGATTAGAGCTGACTCCAGACCTGTGAAACGGATCAACAATCAAATAGAACACACACACACACACTTAAAGTACAATCTGTTTCTTATCCCAGGCTGAGTGTACTCTCAGCCGTCTTCATCAAAACTGGTTAAAAACGGTATAATCTACATTCAGGCAGTTATAATCCTTAATACACAAAGTCTATCTTGAATAAAAAGTAGAATCACTTTAAAAGAATTAACCATAAAAATAACATTTTAGACAGTATAAACTAATAGAAATAACAACAGAACTAGTTGCTTCCAGTCTTCAGCCCTCAGTTCCAATCGAGGACTCCGTGACCTCTGACCTAGTTTGGTGGTGTCTGAAAATAGTTTTAAAGAGACAGGCAAATGCACTGAACATTCTTATAGTAAGCCATGCGTTAACTTATTCATCAATTAAAATTCAAAGTTAAATACTCATTCAAATAATCAAATAATTATATTTAATAAAAATAATGAGAAAAGGATAAATGTTGATTCATGCTGAGATGGTTTGGAAGGTATAAATCTAAATCGTTCATTACTAAAATGTTCATAAAAGTCACTTTGTTAAGCTGTAGAGTTGAACTTTCAACATTAAAAGTGGACAGAGCAGAGATCAAGGTCCTTTAATGTCATTCACAATCGCAAATAAACACAGAACACTTGTGAAACAAAATATGGAAACTGTTAAATAACAGTTATTTTTACAGTGTTATTGTGTTTGTATTTAAAAAATGCACAACCCCAAAGGTTACTACTTTTGCAGTCATCATGGTAAGGTTTGTCTGACATTAAAAGCTGTATTTGAGTTTCTCTACCAGTTGAGCATTGAACTGGAGGCTCAGTTTCGTTTTCCCTTTCACTATGTGAACTTTCACATTACTGTTAAGTCACACCCTTTACAGAAGACCTGCCTTCAGTAATCTAAATAACCAGGAAACTATTCTAACTCCATAGCTGAAAACTTCTCACTTGTCTTCCTATTTTTTGAAATGGCAGAAGCCAGTATTTCAGTGGAACATGATCAGTTCAGCTGTTCAGTTTGTCTAGATCTACTAAAGGATCCAGTAACCATTAACTGTGGACACAGTTACTGTATGAGCTGCCTTACAGATTGCTGGAATAAGGAGGATCAGAAAGGGGTTTACAGCTGCCCGCAGTGCAGAAAAACCTTCACCCCAAGACCTGCGTTGGGTAAAAACATCATTCTGGCGGAAATGGTGGAGAAAATGAAGAAAATCTCAGCTGTTGTTCCAGCTGGATCTGGAGATATGCAGTGCGACGTCTGCACTGGAAGAAAAAACAAAGCCGTCAAGTCCTGTCTGGTGTGTATAGAATCCTACTGTCAGATTCATTTCAATCGTCATGAAGAATTTCGCTCAGGAAAACCACACAAAGTGATTGATGCCACTCGACGAATCAAGCAGATGATCTGTCCTCAACATGGGAAACAAGTGGAAATCTACTGCCACACTGACAAGACCTGTATTTGTTGCCTGTGTGCAATGGGTAAACACAAAAACCACAGGATGGTAACAGCCACAACAGAGAAGACAATCAAGCAGGTATACATTTAATTCATTTGTCTTCACTTCACAAAATGATGCCACGTTAAACATGCAAAAAAACATTTTATGCTTTCTGGGTTAAAAAAAAAAGTTATGTTTTTATGTTTATAATTACAAGGTGTCACAGTCATTAAATTCATATTTTCAGTGTTTCATATGGTATTAATATTGTTTTACATTTTAAATTATATATTAAATTTCCGAGTTATGTAAAAATAAATAGTTCTTTACATGTGGTCAACACACACACACACACACGTTTGGTTTTGTGAAAAGCGGGGACATTACATAGGTTTCCATTGATTTTATGCAGCCCAAACCGTATATTATAATGCCCTCACCCCACCCTACCCCTAAACCCAACCATCACAGGAGACTGTGTGCAGCTTTACTCTCTGATTAAACTCATTCTGTGGGAATTATAAGCATTTTGAAAAATGAGGACGTCACCAATGTCCTCATATTTCACCTCCTTTTGTAATACCTGTAATATCTCTGGATGTTTCCCAGAGATGGGTTGCAGCTGGAAGGACATCCGCTACATAAAAACATGCTGGATAAGTTGGTGGTTAATGTCGCTGTGGCGACCCCTGATTAATAAAGGGACAATGTCACGTTTAGCGTGATCAAAACAGAAACAAAAGGTTGCGGATCCAAGTGCAGATTTTATTAGATATTTAGTGCAGTATTAGTGACAAAAAAATACATTATATCAAAGTGCAAAGTAACAAATAAACAACAAAACAAGAAACTAACACAGATAAACACGTACTAGACTTAAGCAAGATACGAGAACAAGATCAGGAACAGCAACTCGGAATATCAGACTTACTGGAAACTAGAGACAAGACAGTCAAGATAGACAAATGACGCGATGACAAACAGAGGTGGAATGATAGAATATATAGTCCAGATAATCAACGGAAAACAGACACAGCTGTGATGGCAGATCAATATTGTGGACCAGATGTAATGCGCTTGGTATGTATAGATTTGTAGTTTTTGGGCGCTGTAGTTCCTACTCAGTGTCCGTTGAACTACAGCGACCTCAGGTGGTCACTGACAGTCATGACAGACTAAGCCGACAAAATGAATGAATGAATGAATGAATGAATGTTGTGGCATTCTGCCATAAGTACTGGCAAGTATGTATACTCATGCTTCAGACAGCAGCTCCAGCAACACTTATATTAGTCACGTAAAGCATCTCTTTTTCTTCTGAGAGTTATAGAAGCAAACGTTTCAGTTTGATTGTGCTGTTTGTTGGATTGGTATATTGCGATTATAGTTACATTTTATTATATATTATATATATTATATATTAAATATTTATATTTTATTATATATTAGATTATATACATAAAATATACCTTGTATATATATTTATATTACATATAATATCAGTAAAGTGATTGGAGAATAATTAACTGATAAAGCATTTTGTGTTTAACAGAAAAATCTAGAACAAACACAAAGAACCTTCAAGCATAGAATCCAGCAGAAAGAGAAAGATCTTCAGGAGCTGAGAGAGGTTGTGAAAAGTCATAAGGTGAGTCAGCTGTAGCCTAATGCTCGTCCACTCAGTGGTCAGCCCAGTTCCATTGACGCTCTCTGTGCGCAATAGCAATAAGAGCTGAATTTTGACGTGTGTCCTAACAGCGATCCACACAGGCAACAATAAAGAACAGTGAGATGATCTTTACTAAACTGATCTGCTTCATTGAAAGAAGCCGCTCTCAGATGACACAGGTGATCAGATCTCGCGAAAACGCCGTAGTGTCTAAGGCTGAAAGACTCATGGAGCAAATGAAGCAGGAGATTGATGAGCTGAAGAGACAAGATGCTGAAATGCAGCAGCTTTTACAAACAGAGCATCATATTCTTTTCCTTCAGGTAGACAAGCAGGAAAGCTTTTTTTTAATACAAATTAACAAACGTAGATGTTTTCAATTGTCTTTATCTGACGTATTTTGTCTGCAGAGCTTCCGCTCTTTCTTTCTTCCCCCTGAATCTACAGATTCTTTCAAGCTTGCCGTCAATACTTACATCTGCTATGACGATATTAGAAAATCTGTCTCTCTCCTACAAAAGAAACTTGAGGATTTCTGCACAGAGACGATAAGCAAAATATCTGGTAAAGGTAAAGCACTGGAGTGTTCAAATATTAAATGTGCATCATATAGACCTTTTTCATGGCTGCTGCATGGAGGGCGCCATAGCGACGAGCGTCTTTCGGTAGAATGCTAAAAACTTCCGTTTACAGCGTGTACAACTGATAATTTGCGCTCCGAAAATGGGTTTCAATAACGTTTTTAATGGATAACAGAGTGTTTTTGTGACACACAACTTAGAAATGTGTCTGTTAAAGCCGTTATAATCTGTCACATGTAGGTCAAGCGCGTCAGAAATACGAGAAAAACGTTCTCCTAGTCCACGTGTCTGCCGTCAGAAATACAGTGTGTGTGTGCGTTCCCCGCCTGTCAGCTGTTAGCTCAGCGGCTCTTTAACACACACACACGCACACACAGAGAGAGAGAGAGAGAGAGAGAGAGAGAGAGAGAGAGAGAGCAAACCAGAGTACTGGCATGAAACTTAACAGGTATGAAAGTTGTGCAATTTACAAAAATGACCAATAAAAGTCTGTTACTGATCCTCTGCTGGCTGATTTGCTGTTCATTCTAATCGCGAGCCGTTTGTGTTTTATTTTGTGTGTTGTTTTCACCACGGTTTGTGTTTTTCTGTCATTTCGAAATGACACTAGCCTATATTTTCACTTTGTCACAGTTATTAAATCAGTGTGTCAGTGGCACAGTACAGGCTACGTGTGTGTGTCAAACATTTTGGTGAACTACATTTGTTTGGGCTGGTTATATATTTGAAATAAAGAGAAAATATTTACTTTAGCGATGACAAGGCTTCATTTAAACTGCAGAAGATGCCGTCTGACAACGAGGGGAAAATGCCTCACAGCAGCTGTTTTCCATCCTATTAGATCGCATTTCTTTAAATGATCAGTCCAGGAGATGGTGCTGATGGACAACAGTATTAGTTTAAAGAGGATAAAAGCAGGTAAAATAGATTAAAACTATCGTTTCAAAGCTGTCCAAATGTGACTGTTTACACGCATCAGCTGCCGACCGGAAGTTCTTCGCATTCTCCTTGCTCATACACGCAAAGCATAATGGGTAATTTTGCGTACCAAGAAAAAGGTCTATAACAGGATTAGATCAGTTATCTTGTCCCATAATAAATATTATATTTCAATTAAATGACTCTTGGGTTTCGTAGTGAGATTTATTGGGGTCAATTTCACATCTGATGAGGATGAAGATGAGGAGGATGAGGATGAAGACGAGGAAGAGGATGATGATGAAGACGAGGAGGATGAAGATGATAATGAAGACGAGGAGGATGAAGATGAGGAGGATGAAGACGAGGAAGAGGATGATGATGAAGACGAGGAGGAGGATGATGAGGAAGAGGAGGACGACAGTGAGTATAAAGATAAGGATGAGCTTAAAAAAAGGAATATATACATTTTTTTTTAATCAATGGTACAAATTATCCTATTGTATAAACAATTTCAGTCAAAAGCAAACTATACTGTAGCTCTTCTTGACTGAATATTTAACTATGGGCCATGTTTTTTTTTTCTCTCCACAGCGTCAAAGCCTAAATTCTTTACAGCATCACAGTCCAGAAGTTATAAACAAACATGGACACATCAAGCCTTCTCAACATCAGAGTCAAAATCGAGGAGCTTCAGAGAATCAGGGTCAAAACCTGGACCCTTCCCTAAAAGGGAGTTAAAATCTAGGAGCTTCAGGGAACCAGAGTTGCAATCTAGACCCTCGTCAATAACAGAAACGGGGTCCAGGGGTTTGATAAAACCACGGTTTGGCTCTATACCGTCCAAACTGTCACGTGACAGATACTACACACAGAAAGACTAAAGGCTAAGAACATCCTCAGTAAAAAAAATAAATAAATAAAAAAAACCTACCTAGTTTTTAGCTCTGTATACCATAAGACTATGTGGAAGGGCAAAGAGCTTTTGATTCTAGGGGTAATTTATAAACTATAGATGAGCATATGAAAACCGTTTTCATATAGGCCTCATTCCTACTAGATATTAAAAAAAGCAGTGTTTCTCAACCAAGTTCCCGGAGGACCACCAGCTCTGCACATTATCCCCTTAACCAACCACACCTGATTCATATAATCAGTTCATTAGCAGAGACTGAAAGACCTGTAATGGGTGTGACAGACAAAGGGAACATCCAAACCATGCAGTGTTGGTGGTCCTCCAGGAACTTGGTTGAGAAAGTACTCAAAGAGTAAACCATATTATCTGAACTAATGATACTGTATTGTTGCTTGCCATAGTCTTGATGCATTATGGGAAGAAATATCAGTGATCAATATGTTTCTGTGTTTTAAATGTTTGGTAACTATTTAAAAAATAATTACATACAAATAGAAACATCTAGTAGAATTTTGAAGTATACATGAATTTTATGTCTATATAGTGAAATTTTAGAGGTAATTTCAAAGCCTATCAACTATCTGGATATCCCACCTCAGGATGGTATGCGTTTTGGTATTTTGTGTCAAAGTATTTTGTGGTATACAGGTACAATTATTAGCTTAGCACATAAATGCTAATCAAAATACATTTTAAATTCACTGTTTACTTCAGTACTTACTTGAAAAATAATGGTATTTCATTTAACCGTACATAGTAAAAAATATCCTGAAGCGAAAGTGCTTGAACAGATCTGAAAAAGTAGAGATATTCATGCTTGATTTTCACAGCTCATAAAGGATAGAGAGTAAAACAGGATTCTCAGAGAGGATTGTGCTCAATCAGCAAGTACTGCATTTTCCTAAGAAATGTTGTCGGGAAAAAACTGTGTAACTGCTGCTTATGCCAAGGTAATGGAATTGTACAGGACCTGTGGGGAAAGCAAGATCAACAACAAGCTATGAAAATTGAGTTTTTATGCTATACACTTAAGTTAATCTAAAGATTGTATTCCAGTCACGTGCTGCAGTGCATTTCAGTAAGTAAGGGATTTAAAGGCATTACATGACAACAATGTGTTAAAAATATTACATTTACCCAAGACTACTAACTTACTGAGTATTTTCTTTGTTGTTGAAGTTTTGCGATCCAATGACAGCATTGCCAAAACATATCCTGTTACACACAGATCCACGAAAACAACTAAAATGCTGTATCATGCATGTCATGCCAGTAGATGGCGATGTCAGTTTATAAAGAAACAGCACGAATGGTCCTGCATCGTGGTGCCATTGTTGTTTTTGTAGTCTTTGTGGATGATTTTTCAAAAGGCAACATTACAATTTTCAATTTGCTCTTTACCAAAATGCAGAATATATGTAAATTAATAAATGCATTGTTAACAAGTTGTATTGTTGGTTTTGTTGGCATGTTTAACAACTTTCTGTCTTGCAATGTCAGTTCCCATACCTCAAAAGTCTCTTTTTTTAGAGTCAGACTTACTGTGCATGTTCTATTGACGAGAACACTAGAGAAACACTAGATGCCAGCAAAACAATTCTAGAGAGCTGAGAAATGGGTTTTGGCACGATATACTACTGTACAGTCTCAATCTTGTGAACTGAAGATGTACATTTAAATATATTCTTAGCAGATATTGATAGTTTGTTAGATAATACTAGTAACCAGCAACATACAGAAGTTTTATGATATAATAAAAGTCTCCAAATTAACCAGGAAAATAAACAGACATTTTTAATATCTGTGTCAAAAATCCTTACAAATCACACAGGTTGATTAAATTTTCAATTCAGTTAAACCCCATTTTTAATTGAGTAAAATAAAATGCTCAGCTCAGAGGTCGCATTGTTTAGTTTGTATAGAAATATGAGAGAAAGACAATTTTAAAAAAAGGTGCAAAATACTGCAGTAAAATACATACAATAAATACATTTAGAATTTTTTCATAAATATATAATAAATGTTTCAACAATAAAATATTGTAATATTATTCTAATTTAAATGATCAGTTTAATATGTAAACAAATATATATATATATATATATATATATATATATATATATATATATATATATATATATATATATATATATATATATATATATATATATATATATATATATATATATATATATATATATATATATATATATATATATATATATATATATATATATATATATATATATATATATATA